ATCCATCCATCCATCCATCCATCCATCCATCCATCCATCCATCCATCCATCCATCCATCCATCCATCCATCCATCCATCCATCCATCCATCCATTCATACATCCATCCCACCCCATTCCATTCCATCCCATTCCATTCCATCACATACCCTCTCTTCATCCTTCCCTTGTCATAATGGACGAATATATTCTTATCTAGAGGATGATTTGACCAAGAACTCCAAAGACTGGTCCGTAACCCTTGGAGAGCACCACTTAAAGAACACTGACTGGTTTGAACAGGCAAGATTAGTGAGCGCCATCTATACGCACCCAAACTATGATGCTGCTGAGGTTAAGGCACTGAACCAAGATACACTGGTAACAGAACCGCCCGACTATGACTTAGGTTAGTATTTACAAACTGTGCAAGGGCACTGACTAAGAGCGCTTGGAATTAAGCCGAACCGATCGGTCCGAACGGCCAGTTCTTATATGGTACGCGTCAGTTCTTAGAACTAAACCAACGCGGCCCAAAGTAGTTCTAAGATACAAAAAGCACGGGTGGCGTAGCGGTGAGAGCACTCGCCTCTCACCAATGCGACCCGGTTTCGCGTCCCGCTGAGCTCGGTATCATATGTGAGTAGAGTTGTTTGCTGGTTCTCTCCTGTGCTTCGAGGGTTCCGGGATTCTCCGGCTTTCCTCCCTCCGCAAAAACCAACTCCTAAATTCCAATTGGAATTACAGTGGATGGATAGCTACTCTGTAGAAATGCCACTGTTAAATCCCATTTATTATATTTATTTATTTATTTATTTATTTATTTATTTATTAAGAACTGACACGAACCATTTGAGAACTGACCGCTCGTACCGGTCGGTTCGACTAAATGGGAAGCGCCTTAAATCCCTACCTGGGGGTTTAAATCATTTCAATCCTCAAGAGAAGGGAAATGTTTTTTTTCCGACCCCTTAATTAGGAATTAAGGCAAGGGATCAAATTCTGTATTAATGGAATTTGCTGTGTCTGCAAGTTAAAGCGTGACAAGGAAATGTTTTACAATAATTTTCAAATTTCTCGCACGCTGATTGGTTATTTTTTATCATCAATAAGAGGATAGACAGATAAAGCTGACGTCAACGAGCGCGCGCTCTCTCCGTTGGTTGTTTTGATCACTAAAAATGATAAGTTTTTATCGTTTTTGTTATTGTAAAAAACAAATAGACATCAGTTTTTTGTGTCTGACCTCTTATTGAAAATAAATTTCGTCATCACATTGTCATCACATTACTTTGACAATGTGATGACGCAATTTATCGTCAATAAGAGGACAGACACATAAAAAACTGATGTCTATTGTTAACTTGACAGGGAGGTTGTAGGGCCTAAGTCGTCTCATGTGGGCACAGGGAACCCGGCTATATTTTTTTGCTTCTTTTAGAAAAGTAACTTTGCTCTTTGTGGGTTTCCTGTGTTGGGATCGGTTTCCTATTACATAAGCTGTAATCAGATCTGCGCGCTGTGATCACCGTTGGTGTTTTGTTTCTTACTATGGGTTGCCTGTGGTGTGTAACGCACTTTCTAGTAAGCACAGGCAGCCCAAACAAGGTTCCTGTGTATGGTTTATAAGGGAATGTATGGGAGTTATGATTAAGGTCACGAAAATAAAATGTTTCACTCAACAATTTGCCCCAAAACTTGCTGCAGTCGTTGCTTTTACTTTGTTCAGCCTCCTGGCGAAGTTTCAGCGCGATTTGAGGCCGTTTAGTGAGTTTTTTCAAAATCAGCTCTTCTCTACCTAAATAATGGGAAGGCTGGAGACTTAGCACCCGATATCGACTACATCACGCTAGAAAATCCAAAAAAAATCTCTCTCTCTTTCCTTGAACCGCAAAAAAATGCAACATGTCAAAGGAACGATAATTTCGCTATCATAACATGTATTCTGAATGCCACCACGCCAAATATTTCCAGAAAAATCCTGGCTTAAAGTCGAATATTTGATTTCTTCTACAGCGTGTGATCAATGGTGTTCAAACGGCCGTTGTAAAGCGTGAGCGGGTCACGTTACATACTGCATTCTGATTGGTCGAACGTGATACCAAGCTCGAAACAAATTCCCCTTCCCCGACAGACTTGGGTTTGTTGCCAATCAGAATGCAGTATGTAACGTGACCCGCTCACGCTTTACAACGGCCGTTTGAACACCATCGATCACACGCTGTAGAAGAAATCAAATATTCGACTTTAAGCCAGGATTTTTCTGGAAATATTTGGCGTGGTGGCATTCAGAATACATGTTATGATAGCGAAATTATCGTTCCTTTGACATGTTGCATTTTTTTTGCGGTTCAAGGAAAGAGAGAGAGATTTTTTTTGGATTTTCTAGCGTGATGTAGTCGATATCGGGTGCTAAGTCTCCAGCCTTCCCATTATTTAGGTAGAGAAGAGGGGATTTTGAAAAAACCCACTAAACGGTTTCAAATCGCGCTGAAACGTCACCAGAAGACTGAACAAAGTAAAAGCAACGACTGCAGCAAGTTTTGAGGCAAATYGTTGAGTGAAACATTTTATTTTCGTAACTTTATCATAACTCCCATACATTCCCTTATAAACCATACACAGGAACCTTATTTGGGCTGCCTGTGTAGTAAGCAGTCAAAAGAGGAGAAGGGATGCAACAAAGCAAGTGTCCGATTTTAAAACCCTTTGTTCAAATTATTCATGAAGGTAATTTATTAATAAAAAACCCACGAAATGTTTGCTCAATGAATAAACTTTGGGTCGGGATGTTTTATTTTGTTGAACTCGTAAAAGTAACGATCCTAGAAAGTGATAGTTAAAAGCTAAGTTTTAGTTATGTGTTCACCTCCAGTTGCTCGGACCGCTTAGCTTATGAAACAGGATGTATCTGGTGT